GGTTTCCCTATTAACACGTTAAAATGCAAGACTTTGATCGAAGAAACGGATCGTTCTCCAATGATGTTGACAGTGTTACAATGTCGTTAGAAAAATGAAGCCTTCTGCACGTTCTTAAAGAGACAACAGGAGACCACGCTTAGTGACGTCATAACAAGGGATAGGGGCAGACGACAAAATAAAATTTATCAAAAGTCATCTCAATAAAGTAACTCTGGATAAGATTAACAATGGAAGAACTGTTCGAAAAGTCTTTTACGCAATTGTAGCAAACTAATAGAAAGAAAACTCTGCGGTGTCTGTCAGAAATGAGTGTACATACCATTGTTTATGTGGGAGGGTTTTCCGAATCTCCTTATCTAAAGGGAAAATAATAAGATCAAAATTTAGGCGAAAGTAAGAGTTGGGTCTTTCCTGAACGATGCAAAGCTGCCCGTTCTTGAAGAGGGGCAGGTGAATTTTTGGATATCAGTCACAAATAGGCGGTACATGAACAGTTTAGAAAAACGGAAAAACGATTTAGCATTACTTATTACTGAAAAATTTGAATAAACGGGTCACAGATTTTTTAAGTGCGGAGATTTGCCAACAAATATATCTTAAGGAAATTATACATAGTTACATAAGTACAGAATTCAATTTTAATAAAAATTTAATCCATACATGTACACAATTTTGAAGTAGGGATGACGACTCTTTTTTAAATCAGACAAAGCACAGTGAGTGAAGGGAACTTATCCATTACTTTGTGGTGTCTTAATTAGTTACATTTGTTAATGCACATGAGACTTTTGAAAGAAGCTGACAATGAAAAAAGTAATGTGTTTGAAGCATTTCAGACAAAGTGCTTCACAGTCAATTACAAACGTAAAGTAAGCGTAAAAATGGCTGTTTCAAAAACACGAAGGAATTGTTATCTTAAAAATGAAAATATTCATTGAAAATATCATTATACAATAATTATGGCTTTGGGCAACTTCTGCGAATAAATGTACATAGTTTTTAGCAAAGTGCTTTTCGAATTATTAATTGCCGACATGTATTTCATCTTATGAATAACAAATGACGTAATATTTATTGTTAAAGGCACATTATGTCCACAGAAATCTATATACTTTTTTTAGAAACTTTTAAACGTGTGTTCTATAAATGGATTTAGAGCATATTAAATGTATTAAACAACGTTAAAAAGTTGAGCTGAATATTGCAGTAAATGTGTAGCTACCTTTAGTAGGCAACATGTAAACAAAGTAGTATTTTGACTTCCATTCAAAATACTCATTAGAGCAAAGTAACTAAACGATAGTTTATCTATCTATGTCGTGAGTTTATTTTTTGTTTGTTTTTGAAACTGTAACAAGATACAAAACAAGAGCTGTCGGTAGGACAGCAAAGCTCGACTATTCTTAGTGCTTGATAGTAAAAAAAATGCTTGATACAGTTACCTCCTCCTGTTTACAGGTTGGGGTCATGATGGTGAACAAGTGTGCAAAGTTTCAAAGCCATATGTCAATGGACTTTGGAAATACTTGAACTATTACAAAAAAATTAACGTAAATTCTAAGTCGAAAAAGGGGCATAATTTTGTCAAAATGCTTGATAGAGTTACCTCCTCCTGTCTACAGGTTAGGGTCATGATGGTGAACAAGTGTGCAAAGTTTCAAAGCCATATGTCAATGAACTTTGAAAATATTTGAACTATTACATAAACTTTAACGTAAATTCTAAGTCGAAAAAGGGGCATAATTCTGTCAAAATGCTTGATAGAGTTACCTCCTCCTGCCTACAGGTTGGGGTCATGATGGTGAACAAGTGTGCAAAGTTTCAAAGCCATATGTCAATGGACTTTGAAAATATTTGAACTATTACAAAAACTTTAACATAAGTGGTTACGCCGACGCAGACGCCGACACTGACGCCGACGCCGACGCTCGGGTGACTACAATAGCTCTACTTATTCTTATCGAATAGTCGAGCTAAAAATATTATATAGTTTTTGATAGAGAAAAAATGATAGCATTTCTGGATATACTGGGCCTTTAAATATTTAAACCATGTAATTTATATCAGAAAAGTAATAAACAAGAGCTTAATATTGTATTATCATTAATATATTATTTCTTATTAATTACATTTTACTACATTTATACTCTCTTGCTCAAATGCGATTATTGTTTATTACTTATACAATTGTCTTTTGTCTAAAATTTAATCATCATTTATTTTCTTTACATTAAAAAGCGCCAGCAGAATAGGACCATATTTTTCATTCTTTTACTTCATTTCAAACTCTAGTCACTTTTCTTTACATCATAAATGGTACCTTTCGTATAATTCAGAAACTGATTTTGTGTTTTATTAAATATGTTAATTTAATAATGTTTGTTTATTGATGAAATTTAAATGAATGAATGAATGAATGAAAGAATGAATGAATGAATGAATGAATGAATGAATGAATGAATGAATAGATAAAAGAATTAATTAATTAATATGAATCATACACGAGTGAACCCTATAGAGGTCTCGTTGGCGGGGTGGTCACCGGCTTCAAGAAATTGCTGCTCACTGCTGTAGATTCAAATATCGTCAGGAACTTTAGATTCTATCATGTGTGAAATAGCTGTGCAGCTAGCTTTATGAACGTCGGTTGTTCTACTCATGTGCACACTCATGACGAAATGGGCACCTGAGACCTTCATCCACCTTTACAATTTTGGTGTGACAAACCCAACATAAACAAACTGACAAACCTTAGACCTTCAGAGGATTTTTTTAAAGAAAAAAAAACAAACAGATATACATGTACATCATTTTAAACAAATATTTTACTTACTTAAACATCAGGAACGTCAAAATTGTGATCCCAAGGCCGATGATTGAGATAATAAGTCCAATTTTTGTAATGATGCCTAAAACGAGCTTGTCTGTGTCGGAGATACCCCCAGCTTCCAGGTCCTAATATACAAATGAGATGAAAATATGTCTGATTTACTAATTTACTTCGAATGTATTGTAACAACGTCAGTTTTTGATATATAAAATAGTATTTTCTTACATATTTCCATTATGCTTTTCTTTTATGGAAAGGATCCGAGATAAAGTTGGTATAACTTTTGGTCCATCCCTTTTTGTATACATGTACATTGTATGTGCGCTTAAGATATTTATATAAAGTTATATTAATATATCATGTAAAAATAAACAATAAAATATCATAAAACCTAATGATATCCCTATTGTTGTTGGGTTTTTTTTTTTCAGTTTTCATTACATATAAATTTTTATTTCGAATGGTAATATTACTTAAAATATTTTTTTTTTTAAAAAACCTCCGTGGCTTATTCAGTATTACAATTTTGTAACGCCGGAAATTTCTGCTTTCTAGGTAAATACCAATAAAACATTCCAATTTTTATGACGTCATAATTATTTTAAATTTCTTTTTTTTACAAAAATAGGAAGATTCTTCATACTTACTATGAGCACAGCAAAATTGGTAAGGTGATTACACTTGCAAACAACTCGGCCATACTCGTTCGAGACTAACGTGCAGCCTTTGGTATTCCAACCTCCGGCATCTTCGTTAGCGGAATAATTCCAGTAAGCGCATACAAGATTGTCGCTTTTCTGAAACAAAAAAAATGAAAAATGTAGTAAACTTGTCTTAAAGCAACAAGGCAGGAATCAAGTTTAAAGGCCATAACCCTGCATTGACAAGCATACATCTCTTTTGGACAAAACAACCTTTTGGACAAGACCTTGTAAAAGGTATAAGTTTTTTAAATATAAATTTTTAGAACCGTTAAATATCCAATAAAAATGTCAAACTTGCTTATTAAGATTTCCCCGTTACAATAATTTTATAAAAGTAGGTTGAAAAAAAATCCTTTTAAATATATTACCCATAGAAATTTTGAATTATGAAATGAAAAACTAGTTATATGTATAAAAAATGTTAAATGAGGGAAAACCCCAGACCCGATTCAACATTTTTTTTTTAAACATTAAAATTTTTGTACCGACTCTAAATTTTGGGCCCATAAACTGCTTCCTCCTATTCGGGGCGAAATCGATTATAAAAACGCCCTCCCTTATAAGGGTTAAAAACGCTTAGAAATCATCCCCAAAATGAGGTTTGGGGTTGGGTTGTTTTCGTAAACGAGCTGCACCATTTTAATGTTTACCTTTAAAATTTATTGTTTAAGAAAAAAATCCGTATTTTCCGTATATTTGAAACGTTAACTTTGTTCTTTTTTCCTGAAAGTACACTTACATATTTTCAATCAAAACGATATCAGTTGATTTTTTTAATCACCGTTTACATCATAGGACACCAAGAATGAAAAGTTTTTGATAAATAAAAATAAAAGCATCTATGGTTTAACGGCCCTTTAATTACTGAAACAAATGCTTTTGACTTTTATCAGGGTGCGGACGGTCATGCCGGTGTAAACTTGGCAGTTACTGATTTACTTAAATATAACGAATGGTCTAACTTTGTTTTGAAAATTAAAAAGTTTCTGGTTACCTTCAAGAAGTGACTTGGTCAGATAAATCGCCGTGTCCGTATCCGGTACCTCAACGTTGCCTGGTTCCCTAACTGGACTTAATTCATCCTTCTTTATCTCTATATTATTAGTTTTATCGAGACTGATACCAATCGTGACATTGTTTTCATTACCCGTCTGCTGCCAAATCTCGCTAACAACGAGATCTTGAATAAATTGGGCGTTACTTTTGCCAAGCAGAGCGAGATTGTTGGTTAAGTCGTCCACAGATAAAATTATTCTGAAATTACCAATTTGACTAAAGTTCGACAGTGTCAGACAAAATGCTAATTTAAAAGGAAAATGAAAGAGATTAAATACTCGTTTGGTTATGTCCAAGATACAGCCATCTTATTGTTTGTAATTGAAAATTAAATATACATGTACATGTATATGATTTGATACTTAAAGTAAAATTTTGAGTATGCCAACGATCTTTTCTTTCGCTACAAACTTCAATGCAAATGATAGTTTCATAATTTGAAACATACATGTATTTACAATCAAATGTCGAGTAAAGTCAATGGTAATCTAATACGTATTTACGGCAAAAAGTCGAGTAAACTAAATGAGAAGTTAATACGTATGTGAGAAGTTAGCAGTTAACAGTGAGCTAAGCAAAAAGGCATTACGATTTATATAGGGAAATCAATGATCTGCTGTTATGCTCAGCTGGATAAGCAATCTAGCAGAGCATTCCAAAATAAAGTGTAGAAATGCTTTGCTGGTATGCTCAGCTGGGTAAGCAATCTAGCAGGCCATTACTAAATATAGTGTAAAAATGCTCTGCTGGTATGCTCAGCTGGCTAGGCAATCTAGCGGGACGTTCCAAAATATAGCGTAACAATGCTCTGCTGGTATGCTCAGCTGGCTAGGCAATCTAGCAGGGCATTCCTAAATATAGTGTAAAAAAACTCTGCTGTTATACTCAGCTGGCTAAGCAATCTAGCGGAGCATTCCAAAATATAGTGTAAAAAAGCTCTGCTGTTATGCTCAGCTGGCTAAGCAATCTAGCGGGGGCATTCCAAAATATAGTGTAAAGATGCTCTGCTGTTATGCTCAGCTGGCTAAGCAATCTAGCGGGGCATTCCAAAATATAGTGTAAAAATGCTCTGCTGTTTATGCTCAGCTGGCTAAGCAATCTAGCGGGCATTCCAAAATATAGTGTAAACGTGATCTGCTCGTATGCTCAGCTGACTAGGCAACCTAGCAAGGCATTCCTAAATATAGTGTAAAAATGCTTAGCTGTAATGCTCAGCTGGCTAAGCAATCTAGCGGAAAATTCCAAAATATAGTGTAAAAATGCTCTGCTGAATTGCTCAGCTGGCTAGGCAATCTAGAAGGGCATTCCTAAATATAGTGTTAAAAATGCTCAGCTGGCTAGGCAATCCAGCAGAGCATTCCTAAATATAGTGTAAAAATGATCTGCTGGCAAGCTCAGCTGGCTAAGCAATCTAGCAGAGCGTTCCAAAATATAGTGCAAAAAATGCTCTGCTGGTATGCTCAGCTAGCTTAGCAGTCTAGCAGGGCATTCCTAAATATAGTGTTAAAAATGCTCAGCTGGCTAGGCAATCCAGCAAAGCATTCTGAAAATTAGTGTAAAAATGTTCTGCCGGAATGCTGAGCTGTCTAGGCAAACTAGCAGGGCATTCTTAAATAAAGTATAAATTTCGTTTGTCTACAACTGATTATTTGGCACTCGTAGACTTTCTGAAATATTTAGTGCCAATGCAGATAATGACATTGACTGATTCTGAGGCACTCACAGACTTTCAGGAATTTTTGATGTCAAGGCAGATAATGACATTTTTTACTTCTAGGGACCATCCAGGGTCCATTTTTTGGTCTGCGACTTAATCTTGGACAGTCACAGACTTTCAGGAATTGTTGGTGCCAATAGAGATAATTACAATTTATGACATTTTTGACCATCCAGAGTCTTTTTCGTTGGTCTGCGACTGATTATTGGGCACTTGCAGACTTTCAGGAATTTTTGGTGCTAATGCAGATAATGACATTTTAGGGTAAAAATGCTCTGCTTATGACTAAGGGGTCCTTAAAAGTAAAAAAGTCATGATCTGCAATGGCACTAAACATCCTGAAAGTCTGCGAGTCTTAAGGAATCAGTCGCAGACCCAAGAAATGTACTCTGGCGGTTCCCTAAATGTCAGAAATGTCATTATCTCCATTGGCATCAACATTCCTAAAAGTCTGCAAGTGTCCCAAAATCAGTCGCAGACCTGCGAAATGAACTCTGGGATGTCGCTAGAAGTCAAAAATGTCATTATCTCCATTGGCACCAGAGATTCCTGAAAGTCTGCGAATGTCCCAGATTCAGTCGCAGACCATAAAAATGGACTCTGGCGGGTCCCTAGAAGTAAAAATTGCCATCATCTCTATTGGCACCAAACTTTCCTGAAAGTCTGCGAGTGTTCAACAATACGCTGCAGGCCAATGAAATGGACTCTTAAAGGTCCCTAGAAGTCAAAAATATGAAAATTTCCATTGGCACCAACCATTCCTGAAAGTCTGCGAGTGTCCAAGAATCAATGGCAGACGACCAAAATGGACTCTTGAGGGTCCCTAGAAGTCTTAATTGTCAATATCAGCATTGGCACCAAAATTCCTGAAAGTCTGCGAGTGTCCAAGAAACAATGGCAGACGACCAAAATGGACTCTTGAGGGTCCCTAGAAGTCTTAATTGTCAATATCAGCATTTGCACCAAAATTCCTGAAAGTCTGCGAGTGTCCTTCAAAAAGTCGCAGGACAATGAAATAGTCTCTTAAAGGTCCTTAGAAGTCAAAAATATCATTATTTCTATTTGCACCGAAAATTCCTGAAAGTCTGCGAGTGCCTCAGAATTGCCTAGAAGTCGAAAATGTCAATAAAACTTTGGCAACAATAAATCTTGGAACTCAGAATCAGTCTGCCAACTGAGCATTCCAGCAGAGCATTTTTTAACTATATTTAGGAATGCCTTGCTAGATTGCCTAGCCAGCTTAGCATTCCACCAGAGCATTTTTACACCTTATTTAGTAATGCCCTGTTAGATTGCCTAGCCAGCTGAGCATTCTACCAGAGCATTCCACCAGAGCATTTTTTCACTATATTAAGGAATGCTCTGCTATAGTGCCTAGCCAGCTGAGCATTCCTGCAGAGCATTTTAACACTTTATTTAGTAATGCCCTGCTAGATTGCCAAGCCAGCTTAGCATTCCAGCAGAGCATTTTTACACTTTATTTAGTAATGCCCTGCTAGATTGCCTAGCCAGCTTAGCATTCAAGCAGAGCATTTTTACACTATATTTAGTAATGCCCTGCTAGATTGCCTAGCCAGCTTAGCATTCCAGAAAGCATTTGTTCAATATATTTAGTAATGCTCTGCTAGATTGCCTAGCCAGCTTAGCATTCCAGCAGAGCATTTTTTACACTTTATTTAGTAATGCCCTGCTAGATTGCCTAGCCAGCTTAGCATTCAAGCAGAGGCATTTTTACACTATATTTAGTAATGCCCTGCTAGATTGCCTAGCCAGCTTAGCATTCCAGAAAAGCATTTGTTCAATATATTTAGTAATGCTCTGCTAGATTGCCCTGCCAGCTTAGCATTCCGGCAGAGCATTTTTACACTGTATTTAGTAATGTCCTGCTAGATTGCCTAGCCAGCTTTGCATTCCAGAAAAGCATTTGTTCAATATATTTACTAATGCTCTGCTAGATTGCCTAGCCAGCTTAGCATTCCAGCAGAGCATTTTTACACTGTATTTAGTAATGTCCTGCTAGATTGCCTACCCAGCTTAGCATTCCAGCAGAGCATTTTTACACTATATTAAGTAATGCTCTGGTAGATTGCCTAGCCAGCTTAGCATTCCAGCAGAGCATTTTTTCACTTTATTTAGGAATGCCCTGCTAGATTGCCTAGCCAGCTTAGCATTCCAGCAGAGCATTTTTACACTATATTAAGTAATGCCCTGCTAGATTGCCTAGCCAGCTTAGCATTACAGAATAGCATTTGTACACTATATTTAGTAATGTCCTGCTAGATTGCCTAGCCAGCTTAGCATTACAGCAGAGCATTTTTACACTATATTTAGTAATGCCCTGCTAGATTGCCTAGCCAGCTTAGCTAGCCAGCTGAGCATTCCAGCAGAGCATTTTAACACTATATTTAGTAATGCACTGCTAGATTGCCTAGCCAGCTGAGCGTTCCAGCAGAGCATTTTTCACTAAAGCTAGGAATGCTCTGCTAGATTGCCAAGACAGCTGACTATTGCAGCAGAGCATTTTACACTATATTTAGGAATGCCCTGCTAGATGCTTAAAACAGCTGAGCATTACAGCAGATCATTACCTTCCCTATATAAATTGAAATGCCTTTTTGCTTAGCTCACTGTTCACTGCTATCTTCTCACATACAGTTAATACATATTTACGGCAAAATATCGAGTAAAAGGAATGATAACTTAATACATTATTTAGTTGGTTTTTTACATCGCACCAACAAAGTATAGGTCATATGGCGATTTTCCAGCTTTACTGGTGAAGGAAGACATAAGGTGCCCTTCCGTGCATTATTTCAGGCACAGACGGACAGCCGAGAAGAACAACCGACGAATAGGTTCCTCACATGAAAGAAACGAAAGTTCGTGTCGTGATTCGTCCCCAGAGCGTGAGGGGCAAGTGGTTTGAAGTCAACGACCTAAGCCACTTGGCCACGGTAAGTATCAAATCATATACATGTATATATAATTTTCAATTACAAACTATAAGATGGCTGTATCTTGGTCATGACCAAACGAGTTCAATACATATTTACAGCAAAATGACGAGTAAATTAAATGATAGTTTGATACTTATTTAAGGCAAGAAGGCAAGTAAATTACGTAATAGTAAGCTGTCTTATAAAGTCAATGATTATTTGATACATATTAACAGTTAATTGTTGAGTAAACTAACTAATACTTTGGTCAGATGTCAAGTAAACTAAGCAATGGCAAATTGTCGTGTAAAGTCAACGATAATTTGATGCATATTATTTTACCGTATATTATTGTTATAGTATGAATTATAGTTTGATATATATTTAGAGTCAAATGTCAAGTAAACCACATAATGGTAAAATTTCGAGTAAAGTAAATGGTCTTTTGATACGAACAAAAAAAATCCAGTAAATTTTTTCTGGTCTTTTGATACAAACGGTAAAATGCCGAGTAAAGTAACTGGCCTTTTGATACAAACGGTAAAATGTCGAGTGAAGTAACTTGCCTTTGATACAAATGGTTACATGAGCTGTCGGTAGGACAGCAACGCTCGACTATTCTAAGTGCTTGATAGTATAAGAGCCTTGATAATGTTAAATTTTCTAAGTTTACAAAAGGGCAAAATTTTTCTTTAAAAACATGTTACAGTTATAGGCCTTGAGAGTCCTATTATGCTCTCAAAGAAGAGTATAATATTTCAAATTGTTTCAAAGCCAGATGTCAATAGAATATGAAAATAATCGGGGGTGGTATGCAAACTTGAACATAAATTCTAGGTCGAAAAAGGGGCATAATTCTGTCTAAATGCTTGATACAGTTACCTCCTCTTGTCTTCAGGTTGGGGTCATGATGGTGAAAAAGTGTGCAAAGTTTCAAACCCATATGTCAATGGATTTTGAAAATATTTGAGGTATTACAAAAATCTTTAACGTAAATTCTAGGTCGAAAAAGGGGCATAATTCTGACAAAATGCTTGATACAGTTACCTCCTCCTGTCTACAAGTTGGGGTTATGATGGTGAACAAGTGTGCAAAGTTTCAAAGCCCTATGTCAATGGATTTTGAAAATATTTGAGGTATTACAAAAACTTTAACTTAAATTTAAGTCGAAAAAGGCGCACAATTCTGTCAAAATGCTTGATACAGTTACTTCCTCCTGTCTACATGTTGGGGTCATGATGGTGAACAAGTGTGCAAAGTTTCAAACCCATATGTCAATGGACTTCGAAAATATTAACTTTAACGTAAATTCTAAGTCGAAAAAGGGGCATAATTATGTCAAAATGCTTGATACAGTTACCTCCTCCTGTCTATAGGTTGGGGTCATGATGGTGAACAAGTGTGCAAAGTTTGAGTAAAGTAACTGGTCTTTTGATGCGAACGGGAAAATGTGGAATAAAGTAATTGTGTTTTTTTATACGAGCGGAAAAATGTGGAGTAAAGAAAGCTTTTTATACGAACGGTTATATGTCGAGATAATAACTGGTCTTTTGATACGATTGGGGAAAATGTAGAATAAAGTAACTGGTCTTTTGATACGAACGGAAAAATGTGGAGTAAAATAACTGGTCTTTTGATACGAATGGAAAAATGTGGAGTAAAGCACGGATAAATCCGTGAGTAAAGTAACTGGTCTTTTTGATACGAATGGAAAAATGTGGAGTAAAGTAACTGTTTTTTATACGAACTGAAAAATGTGGAGAAATGTAACTGGTCTTTTGATACGAATTGAAAAATGTGAAGTTAAGTAACTGGTTTTTGAATACGAATGGAAAAATGTTGAGTAAAGCGGAAAGCGTTACCTATTGGCAGCATTTGTAATCCTCTGTGCTGTGTCAATAACATTTGATCCCGCCTTAAGCACGTTATTTACAATCTCAAACACTGTTTCCATCATTATATAGAAGAAAAAAGAATATTTAAAACTTTCTTATTTCCTTTTCCAAACCCTTAAAAAAAGAGATATAAATTTTCAATTTTAACACATTTTAAAATAACTATGCTCAGATTTAATTTTTAAAATTTTGATAATTTCACACTCTTTTTTGTAAATATAAAAAAAAAATTTTGACTTTTATACAAATTTGATGTGTTATTTTTCAACTTTTACACACTATATTATGGCAATGAAAATGTATATTTTCTTTTAAAAAACTGGCTTTTTTTTTTTTTTTTGTTTTTTTTTTTGTTTTTTTTTAAAAGAAAGGGGGAACGCAGTTTCCCATACATACTTTATTCATTCTTTTCTTCCAATTAGACAAATTCAGTAAGAATTTCATAGATTTCAATAAATTTCTGTTGATTTAAATATTTTACTCAAAGATGAGCAAAGTGTATCTTTAGTTATCATTTTGATAATATTAAGAAACAAAATGGGAGTAGCAAGTTTTATTGTACGAATTTACACCTGAACTAGATACCCAAACATGTCATTGTTTTTCTTCAAGTCTACGGACATAAAGTGAGGCAGCTGGACGGACGGACAAATTATTTCACATTTTGCGCTATTGTCTCCAGATGATAAGCGTCTTAAATTTTTTCAATCCATCATCCATAAAACATATTTTTTTGTCTTCTTTTAACAGATTTTTTTTTCATTTCTGAGGTTTGATAATTTACTATGCATGTCTTCATAATCATTAAACTTAGAGACTGGACTTTCTAGTAAGATAATTTTCATAAAAATACGCTAATGTTTGATTCAGAAATCATGTGGGGCTTGTACCCGGTCCCTTGCCTATATGTATTTCACTTACTTCCGGTGTATTGACGGTGTCAAATTGCAGGTAATTGTACAATATCTCTGCGGTGTAGATAATATCTGCCGCGGTGAGGTTTACATCCGGGTTCGTCAAGTTAGCAGTGTTGCTAAGCACCGTCTTGTAATTTTCTTCTGTTATCACCGTCTATACAAACAAAAACATTTTATATGAGTATGGTGTCAATTTATGTATGGTAATGAATGAAACATGTAAAATCGGCGAAAAAAAACGTATTTGTCTGTTTTGTGATCTTTATTTCTACAAGCGTCTAGAGGAACTGCAACAGTCCTGTATGTATTGAGTTAAAACCAATTTAATATACAATGAAGCCCAAACTGGGTTTTTTACATGATAGTTTACGCACCTTTTTGTACTATAAGATAAGATACAATTTTTTGACCTTGCTCAATTTAAGGCTTATTTCATATCATGAGCTTTGAAATAGGTTTCAATACCTGGGATAAGTTTCTCAAAGTAACTGTGCTCTCAGATTCGTTGTATACCGGAACCTCTCCACAATTTTCAGCTATTTTTATCTCTCGGAACGTGGCACCATCGTCATATCCGCCTCTGCACGTGGAGGTCGCGTACGCTTTATTATCTGTTACATGGCAGTGAAATGTTTATTTTTGTGATATAAAACTTAATTTTATAACTGTAAATAATATTAATCAACATCTGTGTATTATATAGAGGATATTTGTTTGTTTGTGTGTAAGATGAAATTTTATTTCATCGAGTGGGCTTTAAAAAAAGTATTCTCACGAGTGGCGAAGCCACGAGTGAGAATACTGTTTCTAAAGTTCACGAGATGAAATAAAATTACATCTTACACAACAAACAAACAAATTTTCTTTTTATTTTATGCTAAAAACAACTTAAAACGAAATTTCCATAATATTAACGTAAATATTAAAATACGTTTTCCCCATTGAGAGTCCCATTTAGTCGGAATTTCTCATTATAAACAAGAAGTCTTGAGCTGAAAAAAAAGTCCGACAATCAACATTAAATGACAGTGATATTATTTATTTTGTTAAAAATATAAGAATGATCGTTTGTTTTAATAATAAAAACAAACAATTCTTGTATGAGAAAAATTCCAACCATCCATCCATATTTCTGTTACGTACTGCGAACTTATATTAGACCTGCCTTTGTTAAATGTAAGCGGCAGCCATTTTTTAAAGTTGTGTATTTCACGGGAGGAAAATAATTGTGTTTAATTCAGAGGGAAATCATTTGGATTTGTTAGTCATACACCTTTTTAAAAGAAAGAAAACATATTTGAGGATTGAAACAGACAAAAAATAAGTGTTGACATATGTGAAAACAATAAAAAAGCAGCTATGAAAATGGAAAACTTGGAACTTGCTCGGAACGCTGGGAATTTAACTTGTTCTAAGAGCTGATAGCTGTCATTGCTTTTCAATTTTTCATAAAGCATACGGCAGTTATTGCTTGTAGGATACTTTAATATGCCCAAATGTCATCAAGAGCAGTTTGCATGTGGAAGGAATGTATTTTTCAGACTGTAAAAATGAAACAAACAATTCAGAAATGAAACTTGGTGATTGGAATTCGAATGAATAGAAGTAAGTTTTCTTCTTTTTATTACTTTTGACATTTAAGTTATTTATCAATTTTAGCTTTGCGTTTTCTTTAAACAGCCTGACATTGTCAGAATTGCTAGCAAAAATAAAATTGAGGTACCCCATGGGAAAAATCTTAAAAAAGTAGTTTCGGCATTGAAAAGTGTGAAATTACATTTTGATAAGTTTCACTGTGAAATTATCAAATATAATTTTCACGGATAAATCAGTAATCCACTGAAAAGCATAAAATAAATGATACTTATTTCATGGCTTATATAACAGCCCTGCATGCGGTGTTTCCGCTCGTGGGTAAACTACCCTCTTTTGACAAAAGTTAAAAAGGGACATAACTAAAAATATTGCTTTCAGAATTATACCCCTTTTCTAACAACTGCAGCTAGTCAAGATAAGCAAGTGTTCCAATTTCACGTTGATTACTTTTAAACTGTTTGAATTATATATGGGCTACATTAAAGTTTTTGACCGACTACGACTAAATTGAAAATTCGTCTGATCATTGCAGTGCTATTATTGGCTGAATTCGTATATATTTTTTTACTTTTTAGATATTAAAAAATACAAAACACTGTTGATTTTTGATGATGTCTTCAATTATAATGTTTTATCCCTCAAAAATGGTGGTGTGAAAATAAGAGGTCATTATACATCGTTAAGCAGAATACTGAAAGTACTATGGGACTCAAACATATACATGACTCTGCTTACGCTTCGTCCAATACAGGTTTTACAGATGTGTACTCGTCCAATAGAATTCAATATTGTACTCAACAATGTAAAATAACTTCATAATATCGAACGATAAATGCATGTAATGTTTGATCCGATTAAGTTTGGATTAAGTTTACACACTAATAAAACTTACTTGGATAACATCTTTCCCAGCTGAAACCAGTTTCTCCGATTTTTATTGCATTAAAGGTTAACGTCTTTCCATTTTCCACCACTTGTGAAGAAGCGCACATTACTGCAACACAATAGACAAAGTGAATATAACGAAAGTCACCTCCATTAAATTGAATTAAAACTCGTATGTTGTTATGTTACGCCACATTATCATATTCTAGCTATCTATCTATTGGGTATCTTATCAGATTTCATTGATTCGTCATTTTGTTAAATATAGGACATGGATGCCCGAATATTTCACAGCTTTTTTCAATCCACGGGCAGACAACTGGACAAAGGACACACGGACGGACAAGTCCCGCTTCACTAAGTTTGGGCATGAAATAAACAAAAAATACTATAATTGACATAGTTATGAGGGTTGAATTGGGGTCAACTCGAAGGCTATTTTATATTCCTATGGAATTTATTTTTTATATATATTTTATATGTAACTTAAATGAACGGTACATTATGCAATTAATGGTACTTTATGTATGTAACGGTTTGTAAGTAAACAGTCCTTCTATTCATATACATGTATTACTATTTTTTAAGAAGACTCTCGGGAAGATAAAGTGAAACAATAAAAAAATGAAGTATATGATTACTATACCTGTACTTCTAACACTTAATGTCGATAGTTTGAAATATCTTGAAGGTAAATTTGATTCGAAATGTGTTTTAACAGCTTCGTATGCCATTGGTTCAAGTGAAACTGACAACAGACGATCAGCACGTGGAGCTAGGAATATTCGGAACTTCACCTCGGAGTTCCTACAAGTGCAAGAATGAATGAGCCGCGCCATGACAAAATCAACATAATGGGTTTGCGACCAGCATGGATCCAGACCAGCCTGCGCATCCGCGCAGTCTGATCAGGATCCATGTTGTTCGCTATTAGTTTCTCTACTTATAATTAGGTTTGTAAGCGAACAACATGGATCCTGATCAGACAGCGCGGATGCGCAGACTGGTCTGGATCCATGCTGGTCGCAAACGCACTATGTTGGTTTTGTCGTGACGAGGCTCATTAATATAACTTTCATGAATATTTGAATTGCACGGAAGGAGAAGTACACTATAGGCTCGTTTGTGGCAAAAAAATATGTACAACGAGAACACATACTCATTAATATTATTGATTTTTCGCATTCATTTCGAACACCCATC